GTATGTTATTTCTTCTAGATCATCTTCTTTTAGGCACACTTCCCAATCATAAGGTTCTGAGCTCCCAAGCCACAGAGGACCTGGGGATCAGTATTCTGTTCTTAGTGTTAGGTGTTCACATCCTGCATCATCTGCCTCCATTTCTTTGTCTGTAAGACAAGCTGGAATATTTTTCAAACTTGCAAAGTCTCAATAATTAAGATACTTTTGGGAAGTTCTATAGAAATAAAAGGGAGACTTTATTTCACCCTGGACAGTTTATTCCTTTGGGACAATTAAATAGAGGTCGCTGATAATGCAAGTGATTGCAATTAGAAAAACAGCATATTTTAGCAATAAAAATTGGGATTAAGCCATACTGAGTCAGGATCAACTTTTCCCCTTCTTTTCACACTGTCTTGGTGCTAACCTGAATAAAGAATATAAAAGAGTCTCTCCATCCCCTCAGCTCTGGTGCCCACTGCACTGAAGGGGATCACCATAGTGCAAGTCCAGCTCAGCCCCTAAAACCTGTGAGTGATTTTGTCCATCATGAGAAGGTCTCTGAGATTCATGCTGACAAATTTTCACATGTGCTCACAGGGCAGGCACAGAGCTTGTCTGAATTTGGGCAGTTCTTGCATTAAAGGCAAAATATTCAAGGAAAATTAGAGAGAGCATATTCTTTCAATTTTCAAGACCCTGTTCAAAGCTTTGCACAGAAGATTTTCCTTAAGTAGATGACAGGAAGAAATAAGAAAGCTATAGTCAATACAGTAAGATGAGTAATAACAAGAGATTTTTGTCCACCACCTTTTCAGAAGAGCATAATTAATATTTTCTGAATTTTGTCCTAGCCTGAAGCAGGAACTTGCCACCAAAACTCTGAGCTCCAATTGCTTAAATTCTGACAAAGTTGTAAACAGCTAAAATCAAAGTGTCATTACAACCGATCTGCTACAGGAATTCCTGTATGCCTACCATTTAAATGCCCTGAGTGCTTTTACATCTCTAATGTCCACCTACAACCCCTGCACTGCCACACTACTGCATCTAAACACTGAAGAATGTTGCCTGAATTCCTCTGTCAAATCACTGAAATATGCACTTCGTTCCAAACCTGAAGCCAAGGCCAAGTTTATGTGATCTGCTGGACTGATTCATCTACTCTGCATGTTTACAGAATGAAATGAAGCAGTGTTTTTGAAAATTCAGAGTGATCAAGAGCTTTGATATCTGGTTCTGAAAGAAATTTAACAGATGTGTGAAATTCTGCAGGTGTCCCAATGATTTCAGCAGGAGTTTTGTGCACAGGTTTAAACGTGTGGTAGTGTTGGCAGACTTTTGAATTTCAGACAATTCCTTACTTTCGAATTTCAGACAATTGACTTCACATTCTAAATCCTTCTCTTCCATCCATTTGCACAAGAATATTCTTTGAGTATGGAGTTCTGCTGAGTAATTTGTAAAATGCCAAATATGTCGTGCATGTTTTAGGTAACATGATTTCTCCACAGTGACTTCAGTACTATTTTTCATTTACTTTGCCTTGCATCTCATTTAAAACCACAGGCTAGTTTTGGCAAGCATTAAGAGCCCTTAAATGGTTTGTAATCTGTTTTTAATATGATCCTAGTTCAAGTTCAAGCTGAATAAACATAGGGCTAAAATGAAACCTGATGTCTTTCTGCTTTATGCAGGGAACTGCTACAAACCACAGGGTAAGGGCTGATTTATTTGCACAGCAACAAGTCCTAAAATAAATAATAAAAAAAAAAAAGGGTATTGGCTGTTTTATCTTAATTATTACTCTTGGGTGACCTTTTGTAGTTCCAGGAGGCAGACAGCAGCTAGTTTGGCCAATTGTTTTACATTGCTCTGATGGAGAACTGTCCAGACAGTTACTTGCTGAAACAGAGAGAATGTTCTCTCTTGATGTTTAAAGTTCACCATCATTTAACTGTTTTACCATGCTTGCTTGGCCAGCAAATGATTGCTGGACAAACTGAGGGAAATGGCTTCTGAGCTATCACTTGGAAATTATCAGTATTAGGCTGGGGCACATAACACAAGCCACCCTGCATGAGGTCAGGATAAATCTGGAGATGGGGAGCGTGCAGGTTGTTTTATCAGTACACAGATTTTCAACCACAGAAGTTAGGCCACAACAAAAGTTGCATAGAGTTAACAACTCTATTTTCACTATGTCCAGGCTTGGTGGGTTTTCTAAAGCTGCATTTCCTCAAGTTATCTGATGCCATTAAATTTGTATTCCACCTACTCTCCATTATTTATAACTTGAAACTCTTGTGTCTGAAAAAGAGATGGAATAGTCTGAATATGCCAATTTGAAGCATATTAACTCATTTATTTGTCACCAGAAAAGTAAACAGAAATATCTTGAAAAAATGCATTTTTATACTATGAAAGTACTGAAATTTTAAAGCTTTCACTTTGAGAGTTGAGAGTTTATATTGGCACTGCTGTCAAACTTGCCTTTTCTGGAGTGGGTCTAAAAACCCAGGAGTCTGGTTACAATCAGCCAGAATTGTAGTTTGTTTGCCCAGGGATTTTCTATGTCTACAACACAGAGAAGTAAGTACCCTTCTCTCCTAAAATCCAGAAGTAACACATTCTGTTCTCACATGCTGATGTTTTTTATAATAATAATAGAAATAACATGGGGCTGTGGATGACATTTTCCACAGCATAAATAGACAGACAAGGCAGAGGTTTGCAGTCCAAGCCTGCAGCCCATATTTCTGCCATGGTGGATGGTCTCATGTTAAAGCCTGGCCCAGATGCTGGGTTTCATACTAGCAGATCCATGAGGACTAGGCCTGGATTTTAGGAGAACTTGTTTGGCAAGATTTGGTTTAATTAATAATTCCTTATGTTGTTTTTTGGGCTTTATTTGTGCTTAATTCCCTTAATCTGCATTGCTGTTGTGAGGACTACCGTATCAAAATGGGAAGAATAAACAAGCAAAACATTTGAGCAGCACAAACCAGACATGTTCTGAGCTTGCAGTGTTGACTTATAACTGTAATTCTTCCCCTCTTTCCAAGTTTTGATCTCCTCTCAACTCTTGCCAAGTGATTCATAACCACCTGCACTATGCAAAGGAGGCCTGAGCAGCACCACACAGAGTCACTTCCCTGGGATTTTCCTCCCTGCCATGGAGCCCAAGGGCTGCCTTCACTCTTGTCAGCCTGCACCAAAACAAACCAGAATAAACATGCCTGTACTTGCAATTACTCCAGTAAAATATTTCCACTTTAATCAAAGATGTTTTCTGAGAACACAGGAGACAAGGGGAGGGAAAAGCAGTGTTTGCCCTTGAATCTGAGAGGGAAAAAAAAAAAAAAAGAAAAAAAAAAAAAAGAAAAAAAAAATGGAAGCCTCTTTACCTGGATAAAGTCTAAATCTTTTTTCCAGAAGATTTCTTATATGTTAGTAACAAAGGCTGTGTAGTCTACTGCACTGAGAAACCTGTCACAGAGAGGAACTGGAGGTAGAACCACCACAAAGCAGAGCCTGAAGAAAATACATAGCACCATCCTCTGACATATTCGCCAAAATGGGAAAAGTACCAGGATATGTGTGCTGGGACCCATGACTTGGCAGCATGTCATCTTCCTTCAGAAATAGTATTGCACTGTCATTTTGTTACATTTCACATCATATGTGACACTGTCCGAAGGGACAGAGCAGGCTTTTGTGTGAATCCAGAACATAAAGACTTGCAAGTAATTTCTAGAATCCACAGTGAGACCACATGCGTGTTTAAGTCCTAATTCCAGAGAAAGCAGCATGCACAGAGGCCCTTTGTGTTGGGATTCCTTTTACTATTAGTTACATTGACAGCACAATTACTTTTAAACTAATTTTTACAAGTATTTCTTTCTATATGCTCTATTTAAAGAAATAGGAAGGCAGGTAGGCAGGATTGCGTGATTGCCTCCAAAATCATCCTGGCCACAGGGTGTGAATTTTATTCAAGCTCCTTCTATTCTTGAATGTAGAAATAGTAGCTAGAGACACCTGTCTCTCAAGCCTTTAACTACCAGGGACAATTTCATCAGTTAGTGAAAGATCTGATGTATGTAGTTAGCCTCACTTGTAAAGTGCAGGTTCTGATCTGGCTGCTGCCACTCCACAGGAAGACCTTGGCTGGATGTTCTGAGGGGTCAAAAAAGGAAATTAAGCATAGATCAGTAAATGTTAGGGGGTAGAGAGGAGAGAAAATTGGAGTATTGCTCCCCTAAATCTGAGGTTCAATTGCACCCTGAACTGTGCATATGCAGCTCCATTTCCCTCATCTCAGAAGGTTTAGAGATACTGTAATAACATTGGTAGAGGACAACAAGGTTTGTCCAGGATCTGGACCTGGTTTATAGAGTGACTAGGTAAACCTGGATTTTTCATCCCGTAAAAGTGCTGAGAGTGCTGTGCAAGAAGTGCAGAGTGCTCTGGAGAGAGCACAAAGCAGTGTTTGTCACTCCAAGAGCAATGGAGCACCAGATCCAAGCTAGTGAACCGAGCTGCGGAGAAACCGAAGGGCGGTGGCTGACGACTCACAGTGGACCTGTACAAGACCTTTCTGAAGATGACCGTGCATGAACTGGATGAGAACTGGGGAGAAGAAACAGCAGCGGGCTGAGGAAATCCTCTGTGCTGGAAATACAGAACCTGGGAGACTCAGAGGAGGCACTGT